AACGAAAAAGAAGTTTAAGTTTTAAATGAATTGAAACTCCTAGATCTTTTGAGATTCATTGAACTTTTCAATGGCATGTTTAATCTCGATTATGCCCTACTATTTGTGACTGGGATGCCGAGGATCACAAACAAGGTGTAAATAACCATACGAATCACGTGGTGCACCCAATGTACTATCACCTAATCAATGTGCCGGTTAGCCACACACGCTCCATTGATCTATGACAAACATCGAGTCACCCTTCGCTACCAATGTCATCCCCAAATTAGTGTGCCGGTTAACCACACACGCTCCACTAACGTTTGACAAGGGTACGAAGTGTAATTCCATGGGTTAGCATACAATTTCACATTTTGCCTAAAGTAACTATGATTTGGGAATTTGAAAAAGCATTTAGTTACTTTGTACTTCATTATACTTATAATGGAAGGTTTCTGTCCTATCCTACCCGTTCGGCTAACGACCCTCCACTAGTCAAGAGTGCGGTGGGTAAGAGTGGATACCCATTCAATCGCCATTTTATAGGCAATTTCCTTAAACACCCCTTATAGACTAGCTTCGTGAATGAGGCCTACTAACGGTAAGACTGACTTTTTAGTTATACATATATAATATTAAACTTTTAATGTTATATATAGTATAAGGGTGTATTTTACACTTTTAAAATACTAGGTGGTTTAAATTATACTTTTAATAACCAAAATCATTATGGATTTATTAAATCTCTTTTAATTATACACTTAATTAATTTAATAAAACCATAAGGGTTTAATTTGAACTTTTCAAAATCAGGGTTTTGGAATTTAGACTTTCAAAATTAACTTTTAATCAACAATTTAAATTCCAAAACTTGAGGGCAAGTTTTGAAACTCTTCAAAACAATTAGGTTTTAATCTCACTTAAAATTTTCGAATTTAAGACATTTAAATTAAAATTTTAAATATTAAAACTCTTGATTTAATAATTACCATAAATTAAACAATTAATTTAAATTATTAAATCACAAGGGATTATCTAGATCATGAGGATAATTACCAATTATACATCTAAGATATCCTAATCCCTTGAATCCCTCTCTAAATCTCGAAAATAAGGGATGGGATAATTCAAGATCTTTAATTACCATATTTAACAATTAAAAGATAATTACAAGATATGGGATTATCCAAATCCCTAAAATTTAGGATCTAACCTTGGGAAGGAGGTAATTTCGAAATCCAAGGGTTGGATAACCCTAGATTTCAAAATCTTGGAGGCTAAGGAAAGGATTTGGGAAACCCTAGCAAAAATCGCCATCTAGGGTTTTGCAACCCTAATTGCGAAAATTACCTAGCCTTTAGGGTTTATTAGCCATAAACCCTAATATGTCAAGTTCACAAATTTGAATAAAAGCTAATTGAAAACAAAAACCAATGGCTCTGATACCACTGATGGGTTTATACAAACAATCCTATGTGTGCATGCAACCCTAGTATTGGATCTATGTTTTCACTATTAGTTATACACTTTATGAACACAAAAAGAAACCTGGCATGCTACTATAATTTTCGAAATTCATATATAAAGCTAGAATACATACCTTTTGTTGTTATATAGCAATAACAACTAGTTCCTTGAATTTCCTTAGCTCTTGAAAGCAAGTACCACAAGTGTAGTACCTCTAATGGAGTCACAAACACCATATGCAACTTGGATGAAGAGGAGAAGAAAAGGAGGCACCAAAAACGGCTGGAAACCCTAATGGAAGTGTTGTCCACGTTTTTGGGGCCTAAGGGGTCCTTTATATACTAGTGTGGGCTTCTAGGGTTTCAGTCAAAACCCTAATGGACAGCTTAAACTCTAAGCAGCCCATGGAACCTTCTGGACAAGGCTATGGACGAAAATATGATGGGCTTCCATCATAATTTCGTTCACCCCTTATTCCTATAGCATTCCTTAGCCCAATAACTCAATTATCCAATAATTGCAGTCCAGTCCCCTATATTTAATTAATCTCTTTTAGCCACAAAATTAATTCTTAATTAATTCTTGACTAATATTAATTAAACAATATGATTTCTCCTTTAATATATTATTCTCATAATATATTAATAAATCATATTTAAACCTTTCTCTCCTTAAATCATCCTACATAGTGCTATGGTGAAGGCAACCCAAAAGGACCATGCTCATAATCGGGTCAAGTACATACCAAAATAGTTATGGACTTAGACACTAATCCAACAAGAATAACAATATTCCAAACCAAAATACACAATTTACTAGGTCGGCATTGGTGCCTTCGACCCGCAGGTACAGTGAGGAAAACTTATCTCACAGTTTTAAAAAGATAGTCGAGAGAATGTTGCTCTAACTGTTAACTCTATGGGTCACCTATATAGAAACAGTGACCTAGACTAAATTCACAACTCAAAATACCCAAAATGCTTCTAGGTCAAACTTGGTCAAAGTAAATGGTTAAAAGTTAAAGTTAAAGTCAACTACAACGGGTTGCCATGACCTAGCCCTTCTTGGTCATGTCTTTGACTTTAAACGACAAAACAAATGTGTCATGACCTAGTTACCACGTCATGGCAACCTGAGCCACGTCGTGTGGATTGATATGGGCAACATAAACCATTAAGTCACTTTTCTTTCTAACTTCAAGGTCTCCAAAAGTCAGATTTGGTCTTTTCTAAGGTCTAAGAGGACAAAGTTTCCAACTTTATCCCTTTAGACCCTCTAGGAGATAAAGATCTCACATCTAGTTATAAATAGGGTAGAGACATTACTTGACTTAACCTATTAAGCACTTTTCCCTGAAGGCTTACTAGATTACATTTTTGAACATTTCTAGCACCTTATAATGACATAAAAATCCTTAATTTCCAGACATGCATGTCCAATGCATGTCTTGGACTCTTATTAGAGAAAAATAGAGAAAAAGTGGCCAAGATCTCATGCAATAGTTCAAAGCTCTATAAAACTCCAAGTCCAACACTCCTAACCACAAAAGGAATCTGGGGATTCATAAAGTTAGCAACTTTATGAAATCCTAACACTCCAATATGTCCCACCATAAACAATAATACATAGAAACCTAGATTTATGCATAATAAACCAAAAAGCTTGGAACTTGGGGACTTAAAAGAGTCCAGAATATACACAACAAGATGGTGAGAATAGTTGCTTGTTGAATCCAAGTCTATAATTCACCTTCTTCTTCTTCTTCTTCTAGTCCCCAAAAATCAACACAAAAAGCTTAGAGAGCAAAAATAGAGGTTAGGGTTTTCTTGGAGGCTGAGAGAGTGTGAAGGAGGCTAAGGGTGAGCAACCCTAGCCATCACATTCCTTTAAATAGGGTGCAAACCCCGTATATTAGGCTTTCTCTTTAAATCACCACCATGTCGTGGCCATAGGCTTCCACACCGTGGTGGCCTTAAATGAGATCGTGATATTCCTTGAAACTCCACATCATGACACTTTCCCCCATGCTGTGGCAACCCTGAATACTTAGAATTTTCAAATTTTGAATTACCTCGGGATAAGGATGTTACAAATTGGTCATTAGTTGGTAGCTAAGAGTTTAAAATTAAAAAGTACACAGACACACACACACACACACACATATATATATATATATATATATATATATATATATATACATATATATATATATATATATATATATATATATAAATGATCAATAAAAGTAGTTATAAATTTATGAAAAGTGTATATTGACATTAAACATAATATATAAAATTTAAAATCCCTTAAAAGTTCTTAAAGGTTGTTTGAAGTAGTTTTTGGATTATCGATATTTTGATTAAACTAAAAGCTTTATAGGTATACTTACAAACAAAATTATTTCATAAATTCAAATTTTTCTCAAAAGAAAATAAAAGTTAAAAGCATATAAAATCTCTCTTAAGCTCATTGTTGAACATACCTTTAGTATAATAAAATCATTTGACCCTATAATATATCTAAATACCCATTATTACATGTGCCAATAAATGACATTGGTTGGTTTCAAGTCAACCTATTTATTACAATATATTGAAACTGTTTAGTTAATAAGTATCTCGACTTCCACTTTAACAAGAAAAAAGGGAGGGGGAGTGTGTTAGATGCAATTTATGCATCTTTTACCATGATTAATTGATGTCATTGCATAGAAATTTAGTCTTAAGTCCATGCATTTTAGTTAACTCGTAGATATTTTGTGGTTATAGGTGGGACCCTTTGAACTATGAACTATCTGTTGAGGTGTATGTCTATTTGGAGACATGGTTAGGCTTAAGATGATGAATGGAGGTTTTGGACAACATTTCAAGAAAAACGGACAAACAATGAAGAAATTTTTTTTAAAAAAATGTATTTGGCTAAATGGAAACTTTACATGAGCCTTGTATGCACTACTAGAAAAACAGCCTTTTACGACACTCATTGCGCATCGTAAAACGCTCAGACGACGCGCAAATGCGCGTCAAGGAAGGCCATGTCATAAAGAGAGACGACGCGCATTTATGATGCGCATTTACGACGCGCGGTTATGACACATAATGCGTATCAAGGAAGGCCCTGTCATAAAGGAAGACGACACATATTTGCGTGTCGTAATCTTACGACGCGCGTGTTTATGACACGCAATGCGTATCAAGGAAGTCCCTGTCAAGAAAGGCCATGTCATAAATAAAGACGACACACATTTTTGTGTATCGTTATTTTAATTTTTTATTTTTAATTATTTATAGATATACTAGTTTTCAAATTAAATTTGCATTTTCATAATAAAAAATAAAATACCATATACAAAAAATACAATACATTGCACAAAATTTAATGTCATACAAATAATCCTTCCAATAGTAGACAAATGCAACATTTCATGGAAAGATAAAAACAAATCAATAGTTGTAAAAAAAAATTTACAAACTAATTAGATACAAGAAGTATCAAAAAAATACCCTCAAATGCTTTTCAAAGTCCAATCTCCATGTCAGCTCTTCAACTCACTTCTCCATCTTCAACTCACTTCTCCATTTTGTTCTTAGGTTCATGTAAGGGCTAGCTCCAGCATCTCTTGCAGTTTCAAAGGCAGAAAGAAGAACAGAACGTGATATTATTTTGCCATTGGAAAGCTATGTTAACTCTTTTTTAAAAAAAATTTAGAAAAAGAATCTGCTTCTCTAAGATATTATCCAACAATAATGCTAAAACGTGTTTAAAAGTTAAATGCAAAAAAGAGAACCTGTTCTATGACAATTCCATTAACAGACCTAGAAAGAATTGCACGTGACTTTATACCCCTTTCAGATTGTGGAGCTTTTTCAGACTCAACTCCATCCTACAAAATACAACATCAATCAAGAAAAATATATAAGTAAACATGCAAAACCACAAAACATACAATAAAACATAATATTATAACTATTAACGATATATTAACCACACCTTTTGCCTCGACACTGTTGTTGCAAGCTTAGAAGATTTCACTTGCTGCAAGGTAACCTCCACAACTTTACTCCCACACACAAAATTCGGGTGTGATGTGTTTATGTAATCTATCTACCCAAAAAAGCAATATTTTCAGCCACGTCACGATAAAAATAAAAAATAGAGATAATGATACGTACCTCCATTTCAACTATGTGCCCAATCATGGTTTCAGAAGGCTGAAGACCATCACTTAAAAAATTCCCTATGACATCATCCATTCTCTTTCTGAGAACAGGAAATCTCTGTAACTCATTCACCATATATCGATGGCCCATCTAAAACATGAACAAATCAGTCAGCTTAGTGTCCAATTATATGAATCTTGCACATTGAAGGCTTGGATCTAGTAAACAAGCAATTTTGTCGTCTAATTAGAACTTCAAATGGAAACTGCTCTTGCAAGAGACTCTGCTCTCTCTGTTTTAGGAATTTTATAAATTCAACAGAAGAGATTCACAACTTTACATTAAAAAAACACATCTTTAAAGATATAGTTAATTTTGCATTCAATGCAAAATATCTGAAAATAAAAATTCATGTATGACATGATATTCTTTCAGAAAGTGTCAAAATTTGAATAAAAATATAAAACATGAATTTTTAGAAAGATTAAAAAGAAGTACCTGCAGAGCCATCTTGGAATGAGTTGTGTGGACACTCAAATTGTAGTAGATTTCCAAAAAGAAAATAGAAAAAGAAGAACGGGATATACCCTTTTCTTACCTGGCCTGTGTCAATAAGTTGCACAATCCGGACAAAAACCTGTGTATCATGGTAAGGTAGAGCACATAAATTCAATTCATCAATGTTGTATATATGAATCCTGTTGAATAAAATGCAGAATAACATAATAACCGATATGTTGACATACGAAAATGTGAAATGACATGAAAAAGTGAAGCTTGAATGGTAATACATACTTGTATCTACGGATTAGATATTTAAGTGTCCTTAGTGCTGAAGGTAACTTAAAATGTCCGGAAAACAGCCTCAAATAAGTTCTCGATCCAGTTCTCTACTCTTATGAAATCAAGACCACCTCAACTTAAAGGTACCTGTTGCAAGTGAAATTTGTGCCACCACGACACTCCCCTTTCCACTTTTCGGGAATTGGTCGGAGGCCTTCATCACTGAAGCTCTCCGAATCTGGCCATATTCCACTGTCTATGACACCAATAATCGAGTTGCTCTCACCAACGGGACTTCGTTCAATTGTTATTGGAAATCCAATGAAGTCCCACGACCTCGTTGTCTGGAGGTGCAACTTTTGACATGGGAATACGGAGACGATCCCTTCATAACCTGCATTTAATTAGGGTTTTAGCCAATCTTAGCAAAGCATATACTACATATATATATATATATATATATATATATATATATATATATATATATATATGTGTGTGTGTGTGTGTGTGTGTGTGTGTATCTACATCCACAATTAGTCAATTATATATAAAAGTTCATGTGGATCGTATCGAGTTCTTGTTTTCACAGTTTATGATGTCATTTTTGATGCATCTCAAATTCTGTGTGGTTAAGAAATTTTGATTGATGGAAAAAAGTAGTCGTACAAACGCACTCTCACTGAATTAATTAAGAGGCTGTGTACGATCAATACTAACATTAAACCATTGTAACTGTTTTGGAAAATGTTTCTCATTTATTTTGTTGCTTTCTTGTTTCTTAATTTTGTATAATTATTTTGTCAATTTTATGTGATTATTTTTTCTGTTACTTGTATTTTTGTTTCATGATAAATTCTAAAAACTTGAAGGAAATCTAAATGAAGCAAAATCTAGTCATTGATACTTACCAGCCAACTTTCGTTTTTCTTCTTGGGAGAGATAGGCAGCAAATCCATTAAAGCTTCTTTGGTAACCCCTTATCAGGGCTTTTCTTGAGAACCTGGTCCCATTTAAAGATATAAACAAAACAGATTTGTGGTTTCAAAAATGAAAATGCAATTCAAAGAAATACCTAGGGCTGGTAATATTTTTCAAGATTTCAAAGTGATGCAAAGAAGGTGAATATTCTCCTTCTGGAAGAAATCATGTAGGCAATAAAAACCTGCAGAAAAGATTAATTTGCATTAGAATCACGAGTTAAATCCAAGATTAATTTACATTAAGTGTTGTCTATAAACGATATCTAAAAAAGGACGGTAAAATTGGGGAAAATTCAAGTAAAAACCAAACGAGGGAAATTTGTAAAATTGATACAACTTAATAAGAAAGACTTTTCTATTAAGTCATTGTATCTGCATTAAGTCAAAAAAAACACTCATATATAGCATTCATGTCCCTATTAAGTAAAAAAAAGTGACAGAACCTTAGCTAGGTCAAAGGGGCCAAGTTTTACTTCAATAAACGTACGATGAAAGGGGAAAAAGATGTGGGTCCTACACAAAAAAGTATAAATCTATCAACAGCCAACATGACAAAAACAAAAAAATTAAACATGAGACGCTACAATACCGATGTCTTTCCACCTAAGAGAGTTCCTAATTTTTTTTGTCTGTTTAGCGTGCTCATCACTTTTTTATGAAGACAACAGATACATATGTATAGGAAAGTTAAATTCCAAGTCAAAGCAACAAACAATTCAAATTCGAGAAAAGTTAAAATGTGCTAAAGACATAACCCTTTCTCCCAAATTATCCTGCTTCTGTATAAAACACATATTAAATCAACCCACTACTATATTAAAGGCTAAAGATAAAGTTAGAAGTAAAGATAGCAATAAAAAGTCAACCAACACTTTAATAAAGGCTATGATTTAAAATAACATTTTGATAAAGTTAGAAGTAAAAAATGTTGCTTGGTTGATAAACTGGAAAGGAAAAAAGCATTAACGAAGGAATGTCATTCCATACCATATGAGACCCTTATTTTTTTCATTCCATCTCTTCAAGGAATGACAGTTACCATTTTACCCTTTATAAAATATAAAGGCTCATTTTCAATCTACCAAAATAACCCTTCCAAATCATTTTAATCCACTTGGAAGCCAAACACGCGAGGGCTGGATCGGATTCGGTGTCACGGCGCTGCGATTTCGTTCCAGACCCGGTCAACAGTAGCTCTAGCAAGATCTTGAGTCATACCCTGAACTTGACTAGTAAGTTTTTGGCGAGTAGAAGTCAACTCCTTAATACCAGCATGTAATTGCATAAGCTCAGCACACATAGCTTCTACTCCATGAAGCTGAAGGAAAAATCATATGAATTTTTTTTATAATCATATATGTAAATGAATTTGATAATCAGGTTTGCGTAGCAATAAACAAATAGTCAATCGGATGAAATAGATCTGTGTTAATGAACATATTTGAAGTCTATGTGACATTTATCGAACATAAATCCACTTTTTCTCAAATTTATTTAAGCCTTAAATTAATGATTTAAGGCTTTGTTTTGATTTTTTTTCTTAAAAATTCTCATCTCAATCTACAACTGTGAGACCTAATCCCTCCATTGCGATTTAAATAACATTCAATTAACTAAGTAAACCACATCCATTAATTAAACACAAAACAAATAGATCAGACCAACTGAAGCTGAAATTGGATAACACTAACGATATTAAATAGGGCTAGAATGTGAGAAATTAGAAGATCTGAACAACACAAAAAGAAAGAAGGGATAAGAGATTACCAGTAGAAATGAGAAATTAGAAGATCCGAACAGAGAAATCTTTAAATTTGATCATTTATAACTAAAAAAATGGAAATATCACAGGTGAAATTAGATGTAAAACACATACCTCGACGATGTGGTTTTACCCAAGAATTCAGTGGTTCTGAGCATGGTGATGTACATTGAGTCGATTTCATGAGGGCTTTGGGATAGGATGAGGGTTTTTGGTGTTGGTAACCCTCCCTAACCTACACCTACACCTAAATGTGGTGGTGTACCACTACCATTTGACTCTCCTCTATTGTTCCCCTGGATTCTAACTACCAACAACATTCAACATAAAAGGGAGAACAGAGAAAGGAGAAGAAAAATCAAGAAAAAAGAGAGCGAGAATAAAGATAGTAAAAAATGAGTAGATGAGATGGTCCAACAACCTACCTGATGGAAGTGACCGAGGGAGGAACAATGAAGACATGTTGGGACAGTGATGGAAGCGAGGAGCATGGTCCTCCAGGTTTTAGGGGAGAAATCAAACTAGTTTCTTCCTTATTTTTGGAGGACGGATCTGAAGAGATTGAGAAGAAAAATCCCTAGCTGGATGATTTTATGACGAGGAGGATGGTCGCGGGGAGGTGATCCTATACTCACCGGAGAAGAAGTAAGCCTGAAGTGAGATCGTCGGTTTTTGTAGAGACCTGGGAGGACCGATCGAGAATCGGAGAGCATTTTGAATTTTCTTGAAAAAGCCCTAGGTAGAATGATTCTTGAAAAAGCCCTACGAATTTAGATGAGAAATTAGGGCTCGTATGAAGCTGTATCTCTTCCGTCGAGAACCCTATGGGTTTGATATGTTCAAAAGACGGGATTATATTGCGATTTTGTTGTGGAAAAAAAGAGGATTGGTGATGTTATTAGGGTTTTTTGGGTATTAGAGTGAGAGAGATAGAGAGAGAAGAGAGAGAGAGAGAGAGAGAGAGAGAGAGAGAGAGGAATGATGGAAATAAGGGAGAGGGTAACAAGAGTGAGAGAGATAGAGAAAGAGAGAGAGAGAGAGAGAGAGAGAGAGAGAGAGAGAGAGAGAAAGAAGAAGAAGAAGAAGAAGAACGATGGAAATAAGGCAGAGGGTAACAATGGCGGCCTTTCAAACGTTTGGGATTTTCGTTTCCCCCCAGCTGCAAAAGAAAAGAACGCGCCTTTCATTAAAAAAATATAAAGCGACATTTCTAGACATCACCCATTTTTAAATAAGTGCCCTCCGTGTTTTTATTTTTTTTGTTCAACATTAATTTTAGGGCACGCATAAAAGCGTGTCCACTATCCTTCAAATTTTAGAAGAGATAACATTATTTTTAGGGCACACACTTTAGCGTATCGTAAATCACCGCGTGTCATTGTTTGCGCGTCATTAAAGGCCTGTTTTCTAGTAGTGATGTTATGGAATGAAAAAAATACATTATCATGTATTTGAAGATTTTAGGATTATAGCAGTGTTTTAAGGAAACACGACCATGTTTTTTACCACCCAAAAAAACATGTGCCCCTATATTTTGGTGATTTTCAAATGGCAACCGGTTGTGGAAAAATGTAATATGCTTTGATGGTTACATGGTTCGTGTATTTCATAGCTTGAAAAACACATGTCATTTGTTTTTTCCTTAATAGGTATTGAGCAATTTCCTTATTTCATAAAAAGAGAAGTTAGGATCCTTTTTTTATCTTCTCACGGAGACAAAAAGGGGGTCATTTTTAAGATTGCTTTTCCTTTTTAAGATGATTTGGAAACACTGATGGGTTTTGATGCAAAATATAAGTTTGTTTTTCACAAAAACCACAAGGGAAGTCTTATAAATATAACAATTTATTTTTAGTTTATAACAACACCAAACCATTAACGATCCATTTATAGAGGTTAGAATGAAATAAAAAAAAAAAACCAAAGAGTTTTTAGAATGACAACCTTTGAAGCCTTTGAACCCACTTGGTTTTGGGGTGATGATGAACATAGCAAAAATCAAAGAATATGATTTCTCTGTGTATGCAACATCAAGAGTAAGGCACTTGGAATGCTAGTTCCTTCTTGTATTATTGAGTGTCTTAATCCTTCAATTGCTTAAATTAAAAAGCATTAAAGGAGGCAACTCAAGAGGGCTTGGAATTGTGCAACAATTTTCAAAAGACAAGAATAAGTTGGAGAAAGAGGTGGTTTTGTCCATAGAGGGGAATGTACATAATTCACTAGAAAACTAGCTAAAAACTCATGCAAAGCACCCTCTTATATACCTATACAATAGAAAAAGCAACCCCATTAAATAATACAAAGTAATCGCCTTACTTTATAGGCATGGGAGACAAAGAAGGGAGGTTGACAAGCAACCTCTCATGCCCTTACCTAGTTTCAGCCATACCCTTCAAAAGAGAATGATTCTTTTATTTTATTATAAACTCAAAGTTTATAAAATTTAAACTTTGTCTTTAGGTAAAAGACAAAAGAATTCAACTAGTCCAAAAGGTTGTCCATGACTTATTAATTCATACCATGTGAAATAATAACTAGTTATACTCTCTTATAATCATTATTTTCACAAAACAATAATT